CAAATATATGTATACCGTAGTGTATAAATTCAGCCTAACCTAAAAATTACTTAAAATATGAGTTACATACAGTAGCGTGACATAGCACAGTGGGGACATCTTTGAGCTAATCCATGACAGGTTGTGGGATCAAGTCCTTGCTATAGACAATGCTGTTGCACCTTGATTGAGGTATTTACCCCAGTGGTTCCAACCACCAAGCTGTATAAGTGGGGGTTAGCATTGCTGGAGAGTAATTCCTGCAATGGACTGAAGTCTCAGTGAGAGAGTCATGTGTTCTCTTGTCTGCTTAACACTACAAAAAACAGCTTTGGTCTAATGAGTTTCTTTGACTCTGGTATGACTTTCACCTTATTTACTAATTACTGTACATATACCTACTGTATGCACCTGTATGCACTTTTGAACTGAATGAATGAAAAGAGTCCTGTTTTGCCACATTTTTGTTTATTGAACATGGACAGTGCACTGACCTGAAGCTGCAGGTCAGCTAAGAGTTAGCCAAAAGGCTAATTTACATCGTAGTCACTGGGTAGGACACAACAAACAAGTTACAAGACTTAGACATATTTAAATATGTTAATATGTTAAATATTAATAACATAATTGATTCCCTACAAAGCCCTAGTTGTGAGAAGACAATGACATTTCTTTGTCCTGTAGTGTGAAAATAATTAATAACACCTGAAAGTGATCTGACTCCTGAACCTTTAATATATACCTGCAAGTATTCCTCTTTAAATTCCTTGTTGTTTGTTACTAAGCACTTTTGGTTCCAGCTGCCTATTTTTTCTTAAATTAATTATTCTGAAAGAAAAGTTTCAGATTGCTCATAACAGTAAACTTGGTTTGTTGAATGTATTGCTGAAGATCTTCTTTCTAACAATTTTGTTGAGGTCTTAACATTATTCTTCAAAATATCTTCATAAGCAGTATCTAAATATATACATTTCTGTACTTACGAGAAAAATATGCAAACACATTGGTCATTAAAATGGCCTTCAAGCATGTATACGGTACAGATTTATTTATATACCAAAGGTGACTAAATTACTAAAAAACTTATGAGTGGCTCAATAATAGTTGTAGAGACTGCTACTTTCATCTGTTACTAAATGGATTTGTGTTTCAGAATGCTAACCTGATTTTATACAAGCATGTTAAGTATAATAGGATGTAGATCTATAATAAATTAAAAAATATAAGCACATGCACACTACTGAAAAATTGTAAGTACTCGAAATATACTTGCTGAACTATGACAATTAACCTTAAAGTTTGCCACTTTAATGTCTTATTATAATCTTATACAGTAAAATCAAAACAAAATATTTTCACCCTACAGCATAAACTAGGCATAATATGAGGAGCAAATGATCTACATGATGTAAATACATATTCTACAGAAACAGGCTTTCCAAAAGATGGTCTCCATATCTCTTATTCTGTTTATAAAGGAAAGAAAATATTTTTGTCTTTGAAAGGCAATATTTGGCATGTTTTCCTTGCATGCTGACTTTGAACTAATTCAAATGAAATTTGTACTATCATTATGACCTAAATGTCTCTTTCTTCTTCATTGGTTTTCAATCTCTGAACCTCAATGCTTAATGTAATCACTGCATTAACCAAACGCACATTATGTTGCTTTATTGTCTACTGAACAGGCACATTAGCTATTTTTGCTTCATTGTGGTTAACATTTTTGTAGCATCAAGTATTTTAAATCTAAGCCTAATTAGCATGATGTTTAAAACAGTAATAGCTTTTGTTTAACATACATTGACGGGAAATTTGTACTTTATAAGCAAAGCAACACAGTACAATGAATACATAATACAGGTTTATAAATGTCTACATATTTAAAAGAATAGTAAATCTATTATACTAGAATATGACTTTGATTAAATGTGATATAAATCTTTGATAAAGACTGAATTTATTGTTCAAAGACTATTCTAGCCTCAACAAATTTTACCCAAACTGTGATGTCACTGGTGCTGAGTACAAACAACAGCCTCACACTTATCCATATACAGTCCCTTATTCAGGCTAACTTACAATGTGTACAAAGTTCTAAATGAAATTTCTCAGTACAAAAGGGAGATATAGATACACTATATTTACTTGCAAGTAGGACAGAATAAGAATAAAACTACAGTAAGTCGGGCATAGAAATGGAAGTCCCATGAAAATGTTGCTCAACACCAATTCAGATGTGAGAAGCAGAACCACAGAAAGGTATCCAGACAGTACTGATACAATGCAGTAATGTAGAGACTCCATTCTTAAAAAACATGATTGCAATACAGTGTGGCAGTCTAAATAGTTTTCAGCTGTGGCTTAAAGGTGGTCAATGACTGTGCAGTTACGATTTCTGTGAGTAGTTCATTCCATCACTGAGTACTGAGGGTGTAGAGTGAATGGGTTGAGGAGGTGGGACAGTGGAGAGGGGATATAGAAAATGTCATGGACGAGAAGGAGTGGAGAAGGCAAGAAGGGATGTAGAGAGAGACAAGAGATTAAAGATAGGCAGGAGAAGAATAGTTGAGACAATGGTACATGAAAAGTAGCGTTTTGAGTCTAATGCAAACAGAAACAAGAGAGGAAATGAGATAGAGAGATCCAGGTATGTGAAAAAAGATTAAGGGAAAAAAGGAGGTCAAACTTTGAGTCACAAAGTTTAAAAAGATGGCTGTCTTGATACGAGAACAGACATGAACATCGAGTAGGGTTGAGAAGTTTGGAACAACAGAACAAAATTGATACCAAAAGCCATGGGGTAAGATGATAGGAGAATAGAGAGAGGTCAGTAGGTGACCCAGAACAGAACCTTGATAAATTTGATCAGGAAGTTTGGGGAAAATCCATGAATGAGCAGTGGAAAGAGAAATCAGCTCTATGAAGTCATTGTTTGTGCTGTTTGAATGGGGGCCAACTTCACAGTGCTCAAGAAACTCCCTTGTCAGTGACTGCCGACAGAGGAATGGAGCGATCCACATTGTCAAAGGCAGCAGAGGAATCGAGAAGAATTAAGGCGGAGAAAAGTGTGGCCACACAAGCTGAGAAGAGAATTAGTAACAGTTTCAGTTTCAGTTTGGAGCACTTCAGTGTGCTGAACAAAAGCCAGGCCAGAGAAGGTCACGCAGATAGTACTGCAGGAAAGAGAGTGGAGAGCAGGCCTTGAACTGCACATTTAAGAGTTTTAATGTAGGACAAAGGATGACAAGATGAAACCTCTGAAGGGATGAAAGAACAAAGGGTGGTTTTTAAGAGAGGTGCAAGAGGTGAAGTTGAAGCTTGGAATTGCCTGGAAGAGGTGAGTAGGGAGATGGGCCTGAATACAAGAGGTAGTTTTATGTCCTTGGATCAGGGAGATGAGGTTTCAGGTGGAAAAAGACATGAAAGAGGAGAGAACAACAGGTGGAACTAGACTGAGGACGGGGGATGAGGGGTGAGGAAGAAGATGGTGCTCCTGAAAAAAGTGAATAGCTTTTAGAATAGTTTAACATTAGCAAAACATTAATTAATTAATTAATTAAGCACCATAAATTATTCTCATGCCTCACTATTCACCACAAAATACATTTTTAACTCTTATATGATTTCTGTTTAAGCAGCAATAATTGGACAGGAATCAACACAAGGCCTCTCATGTAGTGGGAAAAAAATATACAACTGAAACGCTAAAAATCACATGCCTCATTGTTGCATTTTGTATCAGTATATTTTTTTTTTTCCTGGCAAATAAACTTACTTAGCATCAGATCCTGCAGAAAATGTCCATTCTCTCTATGGAACTGTTCCCTTTCCCTTGTGTGAGTGTAAACTGAAGACTAATGCATTCTACTAGCGATCTTAATAATAGTAGCCTTTCTCATACCATTACCATAAATAATTTTGAAACACAATGTGCATTTTCACAACTACCAGTAATTATCACTCAGCAAAAATACTGTAGCATATAAGCAGAATTGAATACAATACAACAGAAATTGTGATCTGCTCAGAAAAAAAGTAAAGCTCAAGTGTTTTGTTTGGCTCTTTGTTTCCTCCCATTTAAGAAAAGGCAAAAACAGTGACAAAACGTGTGTTGAGTAATGTGTACTCTTTTTTCCAATTACAGTTTTGTGTTGTATTACAGTAGATGATGGCAATGCATAGGCATATAGGAGAAGGCATGAGACATGCTGAGGTTTTGGTACAAGTGGTGCAAATGGTTAATTAACATAGCTGTCAGAAATTAGTAGGAATGTTTTGTCAAGAGATAATAAAATAGGTTAAGAATGAGGTTGTTTAGCAACTGGGGTTATAGACAAAACCCCATTTAGAGGATCTGAGTTACCATTCATGTACACAATATATAGTAGATAACAGAATTAATTTTGACTTATGTTGTGGATGACATGGCAGTCTTGAATATGAGTGGATTTGAACATGGAGAGAGAATGTTGTATTCATACCTAATTCTTTAGAAATAATGGATGTAAAAAATACTGGTAAAAGCAGTAAGGCTCAAAAGAGTAATTCTGAAGGATCAGATGAACAGAGTAATTAATTTTGAGTAGAAATTCTAGAGTGTAAATTCTGAAAGAACAGAAGAGTAATTCTGAAGGAGCACTTTGTTAGATGCCTACTGTGTCCATTGCCCATACTGGTTATTGCAAAACTTGCAGTCCGTAACAACATTGGTAGAATATATTTTCACATTTTAGTCATTTTTAATATCCTATCTTCTTTGTGTAGTTACATCTAGTAGTAAGATAGGTCTTGATGGTAAAACAATCAGTCTTTTCTTTTTCTTTTGATACATGAACCTTCTTTTTTTGTTCTTTCTATTACAATTTCAAATGCGTATTTCAGAATGCATTATAGGAAATGTCTTGCATGCCTTTACAGCCCAGTCTAATGTGTTGGCATTCTTGATGTATCCAGTTTGTTTCATCCTTCTGCATGTAAATTAGGTGTCTCTCTCTGTGTGTTTTCCTCTTCTGCTCCAGGTGTCTCGTCTGTGGCCTCTCTTCTTTCCCTGGCCTGGGTGCTGGCGTCTTACCACAAACTCTTGAGAGACTCAAGAGACGACAAGAAAAGCATGAGCTACCGGGGTGCGCTGATTCACATTTTCTGGCGGCTCTTCACCATCTCTTCCCGGGTGCTGTCCTTTGCCCTTTTTGCCTCCATCTTCCAGCTCTACTTCGGTATCTTCGTGGTGGTCCACTGGTGTGCCATGGCCTTTTGGATCATCCACGGGGGAACCGACTTCTGCATGTCCAAGTGGGAAGAGGTGCTTTTCAACATGGTGGTGGGCATTGTCTACATCTTCTGCTGGTTCAACGTCAAGGAAGGCAGGACCCGATACCGCATGGTGGCTTACTATGCGGTGGTGCTTACCGAGAACGCCCTCTTGACGATCCTGTGGTATTTCTACAGGGACCCCGCCACCACTGACTCCTATGCCGTCCCCGCTCTCTGCGGAGTGTTCCTCAGCTTCGCCTCAGGGGTGGTGTGTATCTTCCTCTACTATGGTGTGCTGCACCCCATGGGTCCCCGGGTCCGGATCCTAGCGAGCTCCTGCTGCGCTGAGCTGCTGTGGGGGCTGCCTCTGCCTCCTGAAGCTGAGCCCATGGCCCCCACCCCAGGGCCCAGAGGATCTCAGGCCACCCCTACCCGGGGCTCCACTGGAGACCAACAGCAGGAGCAAGAGGACCTGACTGCCGACACTTGCCTGCCCGTTTTCCAGGTGAGACCGACAGTGCCAACCACCCCCATGGGAAGACCTTATCACCCCGAAGGTCCTCTCATCAAGATCGATATGCCAAGGAAGCGCTATCCAGCCTGGGATGCCCACTTTGTGGACCGCCGACTGAGGAGGACTATCAACATCCTGCAGTACATTACCCCCACAGCAGTAGGGATCAGGTACAGGGACGGGCCCTTGCTCTATGAGCTTCTACAGTATGAGTCTTCCCTTTGAAGGCTCTCTTCTTCTCTCTCTTTATTTCTGTCCTATTCTCTCTTTCCGTCTCTCATCGTCTATCTCTTGGGTTTGTAATTTCTATGGGATCTTTTGTTTGTTTGTTTTGCATAGTTGTTTGTTTTCCCCCTAGTTCTTAATACAGAAGAAAGAGTTCCTAAATGTGTGTGTTGAGTCATCAAAAGTCTCACATGGCAACCGGGAATACAAAAATGATGCACTACAAAAAGCATACAAAAACTTAACTGTGAAAACATCCCAACCAATTTAAAAAAAATTGCAGACAAGCTTTCTTTTTTCTGGCTACTCTATAGATATTTTGTATGTACAGGAAAAAAAATACATTTCTATACAGGAGGTATTTTAAAGCATCACCATATGTTGCAGAGCGGTTTCTGCACACCCTGATATTTTATCTACTAATGTAGCAGCCACAAAGCATCTTGGGAATGATGAAGACTGAAAAGCAGCAACCTTGTTCTACACCTCAGTAACATGCAGTTTTTACCCCCACCCCCTCTTATTTTTTTACAATGCACATTACACAGTGTTTTACCTGTTTTAAAAAACAGGATTTATAAAATCCTGCCAAAAATGACAATGAAGCAGATTTGTTGGCAAGCTGATCCACTCTGAGCGTTAAGGAAGCACAGGTTTACACTTTAGTTTTTTTATATGGCGCATTGTTTATATTCTGTCATAGCAGGTGGTAACAAACTCTTGTTCCACGTTCCAAAAGGGAACAAGAGCAAAGTCTTGCACACAAAATATTTGTCTGAAGCCTTAACCTGATGATATTTATTAAGCCCATTTTTCTGCAGTCTTTCATGTAGAGGAAGCCCTCTGCTCTTTCTCTTTCTCCTGCCTAAAATTTTAGCTTCACTTTTGATTACCTAGATTTCCTACTGATGTCACAGTAGGTAGTAATTCATCGAAAGAATCACCAAAGCTAACAAGATTGGTGCTAACAGCATTATAATGGCATTAAATGTCAAACATGTTTCTTATTGCCTTAAATAAAGTCTCTTGCCATTAACAAACTGTCACAATTGGGTTCAGTAGTACCTTGAAATTTCAAGGGTTGCCATAAAAATCACTAAAAACCATCCCTTCTAGTTCACATTGTTCTGAAAGAGTCTTTAGAATTGGAAGTGCTCTTTTCATTGATTTCTATGAAAATGTTTTCTAAATCTAAGATTGAATGAGTGATTGCATGATTGATTGGTTGGTTGTTTGGTTGGTAATACAAATAAATCCATTAAAAACACTTAAAATATTTTTTCAAAGTCATTTGCAATTCAAGGAAAATTAAATTTGCAGTGATATTAATATTATGATATTTGCAGTGATTAATTCAAGGGAATAACACATGCCTGTAGGTCATTTATCGCACAAGCTACACAGAAATGTTACAACTAAAACATATAAAGGCAATGCTTACAGAAATATTTGTTTCTAAAGGTAAGAATTATTTCCCGACACGATGTTAAATTGTATTTTTCATTTACACTTTCTGTCGTGAGTAGTGTCATTCAGTGGTAATTTTGCTATTGAACAAGCTGTTATATACAAAATGGCCCAGAATTTTGTATTACCTAGAACATAAAAATGCTTTTATGTTTATTTATTCATATTTATATATGACCTTAACAACAGTACCACAATATGTCGAACATAGGATGCTGTACAACTGTACTGCAACAGTACTCTATGTTCAAAAATATAAATAAAATACATGAAGTAGTCACTCAAACATTAGTCTACAGATGCCAAATGACATTTTATAAATAATATACAGTATATTGAATAAAAAACACTGTATAAAATAAAATATATTTTATAAAACATACATAAGTTAATTTTTATTTCATGTTATGCAGTTAACATGAAATTAAGTAAACAAATAAATATTTAAGGCTCATGGGAAAAAATAGGTAAGCTACTCGCATCTCTAGAGATACAAACTTGTGAGTACAGCACAATTTAATAGTCTTTTGAGAAACAGAAATTTGCCTTTGCTCACCGGCTATTTACTGCACTCATACAGAAGAAAAATAAAATCAAATTTTGTATTGCTTCAGCATGGCAATGAAAGCAATACATATCACTGGTGCTCTTTCTTTTACCAATATGGAGGCTTCGGCAAACACATCAAGCTGGTTGGCCTCAGGCGCCTTTCAGTAATCTCCATTGTGCCTGAGTGGACACTATTGTACAGGAATAATGAGGATTGTTTATTATGACTAGAAGTAGTAAAATAGTTTTTGTTTTTTAAAACAGTAAGTACTGTATATCAAATGAAAAGGCAAAGCCTACTTTTAAAACCTACCAAACCTGCTGATTAAAAAAAAAATCCCTGAAGAGACCTGAAGAGGTGTAACTGGCTGAGTCGCAGGGACATTTCAGTTTTTATATTTCTGAAACGTTCCAACAGTTTTATTAACATCAAATGACTGCTTCAGTTGCAAATGCTAATGATACAGATTGAAATACTGAATATAATCTAGAGGTTATGAAAGCTAAAATGCTCCTGAAAGGGCTATCACATTTATTCATGATGTTTCGTAGCCCTCAGAAAACACAGGGATGTACTTTACCATGTCTGTTAAAGTGGGGGGATTCACAGTAACATCTAAACTGGCTTGTTTTTTTAAATAAAAAACACCATTAATACCCTCTAAAGAGCAGGAGCCCTTGGAGAGGACAAAATCTGCATATAAGTATTGCCCTAAATAAGAATTGTGAGGCTGCTATAGGCTTCTCTTGTTCTTCACTGTAACTTAATATGTCAGGTTTTTTTAACTCAGAACAGAATTTTTTTTTTCTTTGGGTTGTACTGTAGTTACTATAACACAAAACTTTGATTAGAAACCAAAAACTAAAATTAGACACAATGGTGCTGTGATTCTGTCCTAGTTGACAAATTCATTCTACATACTAGTGAGTTTACTTTCGGTGTATGGGTTCAACAGCATTTGCCATTCCGCTCTGAATTCATACACATCACAGTGAATGAACATGGGCATGACTAGCCCTTTAAAATGTTTTCTTTCCTTTTTGATTTGTCCTACTTTTTACTTGTGAAATAAATGCCCAGTTTATAGGATGGAAGATATAGGGATCAACACATTACCAATACAAGAGCAAACCAATATGTCTTAGTTGTGACTGTTTAATGTACTGTAACACTTAATAAGCCACCCAGATTTAAATGTGAAATATTGCTTGTTAATTGCTGACTGATCACATGAGGGCTGAAAGTCCAAACCATGATTGTACAGCAGACATGGGCTTAAAAACCTAAAAGGAAACAGTTTTACTGTAAACAATATCAAGATACTGTATATGCATTCCTTACTTTTACTAGAAAAATGTATTTTTGTAAAGATTTACGTGGATTCAGATGAGAGCACAATGTTTTGTAACATGACAGGTATTCGCAACACAAAGGCACAAACCAAGAAGGAGTCAGTTGAGATGAGTTAGATTGTTCACTTGCCTAATAATTCCGATATTCCCAGAAGATGTCTGCACAGTCACAGCCCTGAGGCAACAACTTCACAGATCTGAAAACAAAACAAACAAAAAAAACGGAAAAAAGTGAAATGTCTGTAATCCCAAAGCAAAAAATATATTAAACTAAGGCAGAGTCTGGAGGCTCTTTTCAACCTTCATCATTCCCTGCTAGGCAAAAAGTGGTTTTCATTCTTTGTGCTAGTTCCTCTTACTCTTCTTTTCATTCTTCTTCTCCTTCTTTCTTCACTGTCTTTTGTCTGTCTTCTTCTGCGTCTGTTTTTTTAAACAAATTATATTCAAGTAATAAACTTAGAGGGTGCAAGTGCATGTGGGTGATTCCAGAACGAATTACTACATGCATATCTATTTTTATTTGTATTCTTAATCTTTTCATTTTTTGTTATTTTATTTTTTAACTTCTTAGATACAACAAGAAAAAAATATTAGATTTTAAAGGTGATGAAACTAGATGTTATCTTTGCCTGAATATACCTGAATTTTTACACAATTTAACAACACGTTGCAGTGTTACCACAGAATACTTTTATACACATAAAAATGTTAATAAGAGGCTCCTCTCCCTCGGCAAACAGGGCTTACTGCTAGTGGCTTCCGCCATACAGTGATAATTAAAGCCAAATCTCACCTTTTACTGTAATTCTGTCCCTGGTTCAGGTGCACCTAGACTCCTGCAGTTAAGTTGACTGTGTGTTGAAAGCCATGTTTTCTTGTACCTAGAAGGTTGTTTGTCTGTGTGACAGGGTCTAAAAGCTACACCAATCAGGATCAAGTTAATTAGAATTTAGTTAAGCAAATTTTAAACAAGCTGTCGTGTATATTTATACCACATCCCCTTTAAATTAAAAAAAAAGCAAATAACATACTCTGGGCTTTTGCAGACAAACCAGGGATTCGTCATTTCATTAGTATTTCTATTTCTATTTATTATTTCATCCTATTACTAATATGTAACATATTTACAATACATAGATACTGTATGATTATATTTATGAACAGAATGCCAGATTTGATTTATTTATAACTAGTTATATACAGTACAACATATATAACTACTTCCCTGCATTAAATTATTTCACTTCAAGCACCATCCATTCCTAAGAAATAAATGCAAACACCAAAGTGATATTAAGTTCCAACTTCTGAATAAAAGCGTTTTACCACATATGCATTTTATGTGCATATACTGCATATGCGTATGTGCAGATAGTGATTAATTGGGTATTTAAAATAGTAATAGAATTTTCTAGAAATCTAGAGCAATGATTACAGTTTTAATTAGTATGCAAATAAAGACTTTCTTATTGCTGGATTTCATAGCCTTCTGCAATTCTTATGTATTGTAAACGCGTTATATACTGTACATTTCCCAGGAAAAAAATTATGAAGCCGTTTTCTTTGAAACACATTGTAATTTCAACTACGTACTCTACAATAGCAGTACTGTAAGGTACATTGTAATACATGTGACCTTAGTGAACACTGTAGAAAATGATTTTGCTGACACTGATACCCAAAAAAGAAAGTAAAGTGAAGCACCATTCTCCAACTTCCAACAACACTCATCTACACAGGATTTGAACCTTTCCACTTTTGAGTCCAAAGACTACACCACAACTTGACTTTGCTTTCTAATTTCAAATGAGACCTTACTGAGATTTCTGGTCTTTGTGTTCAAAAGGCATATAAGTTCATTTCTAAGTGTAGCAGCCATTTGTGTGCTTCGTTTTAGTTTAGCATAGTAACTCAGTTGTGAATTCGCATTCTGAGGAAAGCTAACCCTCCCAGTAGGGTAACTCTCAGAGAGTTGTATCCTACTGTTCAGTGAAGACCACAAGTGAAAACCTAACACAGTAGGATTCAGGAGAGCAGAAAGAACAACACAGCTTCCTGAGATGATAAATCAGCAGATTTAAAAGCACGAGAGCTTATTTTTATTTGTGTTCAGTAACCTTTTAATCAGGAATTGTTTAGTTTTGAAATCACCACCAATACTTTTCATTGAGCAATGAATTAGGCTCATTTGGTGACAGAGAATAGAGTTTAAAATTATGATGTTATCATCATCAGTGCACTTAAGTAATGTTTCCTGCACGTAGGAAACACAAATTGCGGTGTGAGAATGAATCAAAGATTCATGACATGCCGTGTGCCAGTATAATGATAAAGAAAAATCTGAGTTAAGGCTAAGTCAGTTTTTAAATTATTTTGATAAGAGTTATTTATAACTTATCACATTTAACAGAAAAGCCTTGCTTATCATTTTTTTGGATCACCAAAGCATGGAAACACCAGGAGAGCTAATGACTAGCTTAACACAGAAGCAAGCTTTTTTATATCCATCTCACCCTGGTCACTCCTTGCAGAGATGGATTATTTAATACACCTCTATATTCAAATGTCACTAAATTGTATAATTTGATAATTACAAAACAACAAAGCAGAAATGGATAATGTGTAGTGTACGTTAATGTGTGTGGTGAGCTATTTCAACTACATTAAAACCTTATGAGGCTGTTTTCCTAATGCTGGCCCTGCAGAACCTTAATAAATAAGATTTAATA